TCTCTAGCACAAAATAAGGTATTGAGAAGCATTAGGATAGGAGATAAGGGATCAATCTGAATATCCTGTGAAGAATTTGCAATTACGAACCACAGTACTGGAGCAGTACAGAATCTTTTTAAAAGAAAAAAACATTAGAACCAGCTACTAAGTTCAGTAACCCACCCTCGAAGAGACGGAATGAATGCCGAGACAACTAACAGACTGGCTACCAGGCAGTGCAGCAGCACTGGTCAAAATTGGAAAATTTGCCAGCTGCAGAGTTGCAAAGGCAAATTGTTAACTGTAGCTTCAATAAGTAGTTCAAAAAAGAAACTTACATACCTTTAAATTATGAAAAAAAAAAGCTGGATAACTAAATATTTTATGGAATGAGATATTTATGTGAAGCAAAAATCGTACACAATTCCCCGGTGGGTCCGGATGATCCTGTGCGCCGTGCTTGCTTGCCATCTGTACCATCCAGTACATGACCAAAGAATGTGCAGACTGAACACAGCAACCAGACCCAATTCGGAATTGCTCCTGAAAAACAAAACAGTTGTGGCGTTTCCTCCAGAATCTCAACTTGACCGGATCCACGTGAACTCCCGAAAAGCGAAAACACCGAATAAGAAAATTAGCAACCCATCTGGTGTGATTATGCGTTTTTGCACTAAACTCGCAGATCGCAAATAGCAGGAATGATCCCTGCGCTCTAGCCTAACACTTGATCTCATATTGGCCATACTTTGGCCTCTTCCTCGACATGCAGAAGAAAGAGCGCCGCTGGGGATGAAGGCGTTGCATTACAGGACCGCACGGACTTCCAGATACATGATTATCAGTTCCTATGCATTTTTGCTTAAATGCAAATTACAAAAACGCATACTGCGATGACCCTGTGTGTGTATGTTCGTCTGTCCGCATATTTCAACTCGGCAACCAGGCAAGCTCCGGCACCAAAATTCCGCCAGTGGGTTCCCCAGCCAAGTGCCACCCCAGGACACGTGGTACCAACACTCGTGCAAGTCTGGGCGTGAATGTTGGCACCACGGTCCTGGGGTGGTACTTTTGGCGAGAAATTTACTAACTCGGAAAACAGAAAAGCTAAAAAGTTGAAACTTTAAGGGAATGCTCCATGTCCACATAGATTCCAAAGATTTCAAATTCAGCCCTCAGGTGCGCGTGGTCCTCGCGTACGGCCCTGTGAGGAATCCTGGCGGGAAAATCGCTAACTTGGGAACCAGATAAACTAGGAGGCTGAAATTTTAAGGGAACATTCCTCGTCCATGTGCAACTTAAAATCATCAAATTCAGCCCCCAGACATGCGTGGTTCTCACATACGGCCCCATAAAATTTTTTGGTGAGAAAATGGCTAACTCGAGAACTAGGAAATGTGGGAGGCTGAAATTTTAAAAGGATATTCCCAGCCCATGTACAATTTAAAGACTTGCGGCCCTATGAAAGTTTTGGCCGGAAAATTGCTAGCTCGGGACCCAAAAAAGCTGGAAAGCTGAGATTTTTGGGGAATATTCCTCACTCATATACAACCTAAATGTTTCAAACTTAGTCTCCAGGTACGCGTGGTTCTCGTGTACGGGCACTTAAGTTTTTGGCAGGAAAGTTACTCATTGAACAGATGGATCATTTTCAAAAAACGACCGCTATACGAAAATTGTTTATTTCCGATTATGCAAAATTTACGACGATTTACAGTATTGAGGTCACAAATTAGATGTGAAAAAACAATTCATGCAGTTAACTCAATTACTTAAGTTTGGTGCAAAAATGCATGATCGCACCAGCTCGGCTGGTGCGTTCCAGCCTGGATTTGCATGAAGCCCGGTCGGTTTTCCGGTAAACGCTCGTTCTTCGAAAAAATGCAAATTTCATGAAAATCGAAAGAAGATTATGGAATCTGCAATATGCATCCGGTTCTGATTTTTCGGTAAAGTTGAGTATTTCTCACGCCAACCTGTAGGGGATTTCGCCTCCAAGCAGAATTAAGACCATACTTGAAAGTAGAATATCCCAGCGAAGTTTCAGCCTCGCACCTTATCCATAAGCGAAACATTCACTTCGCCACAAATATCTTTGAGTCGTGGCGCAAGTGCAAATCAGTACTTATTTTAGATCCCTAAGTCGTGGCGCAAGTGCAAATCAGTACTTATTTTAGATCTACGATTTTCCATATGGGCGACAAACATGCTGACAAAATTTCAGCCATTGTTTTCCAGCAAGTTATCCAGTTATCACAATACAAATTTGCAAACTTTGACGTGATCGTACGCGCTGCACAAACGTTCGCGGCAGCAGAATTTGAAATCTTTAGCTTGCACATGCACAGAGAATCCCTGCAGAGTTGCAGCTTTGTACCTTACCTGGTTCGCGAAATCGCTTCCCGCTAGAGAAATATGAACATTTTTTCCGGAGGTCCGTATGCGAGATCTAGGCACGCGTGGGGGGGGGGAAGATCCTAAAACGGGAGGGCGACATACAGGGTGGGAATGTCCCCAAAATTTCAGCCTCCCAGCTTTCCAGGTTG